TTACTTGTGATGGATTCCAGCTTCTCCCACATCCAAAGTAGCTAGCCCAAGAAGTCTGCTCTTGAGTGGCTGACAAACCCGTCCCCTCCCTCCAACCCTGACAGCCTCCTTCTGAAGGCACTTTTATGGTGAGGACAGCACATGTATTCCTTTGCTCCCCCTGGGCTTTCAGCTCAGCTCAGCCTGGTCCTTCCTTTGAAACTATAGCTTCTTCATAGAACTGTTTTGTACTCCCCTTTTTCAAGGATGAGGTTACCCACTCTGTAATCCAGGCAAGCATCTCAGTTGTAAGTTTTAGTTTCTCCTGGAAATCTGAGTTGAGTTCCCTGATGTGAACAGGAGTCCAAAGTCCCTGGAGATCTTCAACACCTGTAACATCCTCCCTTGCTCTGTGAGCTGCTGAAAACATGTCCTCCACCCTAGGGCAACACAATAACAAGGCTAGCTAGGCAGGCTGCAGACTTGAGGTGGGTTAGCGTTGGTTGGATAAGTCTCTCGCGCCCCCAAGTGGAAAGAATGAGATATGGACTGACCACTTCGCAAAAGAAAAGTACCATTAAGAGGGTTCTTGACTGGCTGCAGTTCCCATACAGGGTACAGGTGGCCGCTGCCATGGGAGCCTTTTATCCACGTGAAGAAATCTGCCATAGGTTCAGGAAGGAGGTACAAGGATTAGGCAGTGAACACACTTTCTGACATGCTTTTCTGTAGCTGTGCCCTCTTCTCAGCGACTCTGCCTTCTTGCCTGTTTCCCTCCTACCTCATGCTGAGCCTAAACTTTCTAGATCCTCAGATAAAGAAAAAAGGCCTTTAATTCCTGGGCCCAAGTTGCAGTCTCTGACATCTGATCTCCAGTTTCTTGTTCAGTTCAGTCGCTCAGTCGTGTCTGACTCTTTGCAACCCCACGGAACTGCAACACACCAGGCTTCCTTATCCATCACCAACTCCTGGAGCTTGCTCAAACTCATGTCCATCGAGTCGGTGATGTTCTCATTCTTTCAGAGGCCCCTCTAATCTCCATAGAAATGTCCCAAATTACCTTTCTGTGAAGGTTAGTTCTGTTGATCAAGATTCAGCAAAGAGTTCTTGGGGTTTACTTCTTTTTTATGGAAGATACTTCAGTTATGGTTCAGTGTATTGCTTCTGTTTCTTTACTGTAACTCAGCTGTCATCATGTGGAAGCTTCTTTCTCTCCCAGGCGAGAGACCCTCTTTCAGTCCCCTGCCTGGGGAGAACACATGGGTCCCAACCCCCTTCTCCTCAGGTTTCATCAGCCTGAGATGCAGCTTGACTCATGTTACTTTCCTGCTCACAGTCCTCCTGCAAGGAATGAAGATGATCTGGTTTCCTATCCCTTCTCTTAAGATGTGGAAACAGAACCCCAGCAACGTTGACTTTTTTTAAAATCAAGGTTGCAGCTCCCTTTAGTGAAGTAGCTGGGGCTGCAGCCAGCCTTCTGCCACTCTACCGAGCGTCTACCTTCTCTCACCCTGGAGTCTTCCGGGTTCAGCCCCTTCCTGCCTCTTGGCCTGGTCTCCCACCATGCTCTTCTGCGCTATCAAATTGCGTGGCTAACTTTCCCCTAACGTTCCTTGTTCTCCTGCTTTATTATTGGGCTCAACCCCAATGCTGCTTCCTCCCAGAATTCTCACACACAAATACTCCCTCCTCTGGGGTCCCTTGACTTCAGGCTGCCTGTCCTAGGACACGAAACTCTCAAGCTGGCATGACCCCTTCCCTTGTAAGCTGTCAGCATCCAGAGGCCGAGTCTTCATCACTGCAGTCTTCCTGGAGCCCGGAACCAGCAGTGTTCACACAGTGCAGATCTCTCAAACGTTGTTGTTGTTCAGTCACCAGGTAGTGTCCAACTCTTCATGACCCCATGGAGTTCAGCACAACAGGCTTCCCTGTCCCTCACCATCCCCTGGAGTCTGCCCAAGTTCATGTCCATTGAGTCAATAATGCCATCTCAAACGCAGCTAAATACAAATGAATGAATCTTGGATGCATACTGGAACCAGGAATAGTTACAGTGAACTTTGGGAAGCGTATTCTAATTGCCCACTGTGATCTCCAGACTGTAGTTTGGACTTTACGACAGTGACCTCACCTTCTACCTTGACATGATGGGGTACGTGGGGACTGAACAGAAAATGCAGCCAGAGGAACCTAGAGCTCAACACTGGCTCTCTCACCCAGAACAGGGGTCAGCTAACCTTTGCCATAAAGGGCCAGATGGCAAAGCTTTTCAGCTTCATGGGTCACACAACTACTGTCACAATGACTCAACTGTTGTTGCAGCATGAAAGCAGCTGTGCCCACTACCAATGTGACTGTATTCCAATCAATCGTTACACAAACAGTCAGTGAACCCCAGATGTGGCTTGCAGGCTGTACACTGCTGACTTAGATGAGGGAACCTGGCCATGTGGCTTAAATTCTGAGTCTGTTTCATCATTTGTTTAAAAAAAGTTGAATGAAAAGTCCTTGTGTGGAAATGACAAGAGTAAGTGAACTGGGGGAGGTAAAACTCTTAGCACCAGGCCTGCAGCACCTTGCTTGCTTAGTCAATAATAGTTCATATTGTTAAATGTCAGCCAAAGAGACTTTCCAATGTTAGTAGATCATTCTCATCCCACAACTTAAAAAAAAAAAAAAGCTAGGGTTAAAGACACTTGGAATTCACAAAAAGAACTTCAGATACCTGAATCTATTCCATCCAGGGCAGGGCTGGCCTCAGGCCTGGCTGGACACAGGTTTTGTACATGTTTTTCCTTCTGCCTGGAATGCCCTGCCCTCCCTCGCTTGCCTGTGCCTGCGGCGAGTCCTTCTCAACCTCCATAGGCTTCAGCATATTCTTTTGGGAAGCCTTCCCTGACTTCTCGCTTAGAAAATCTTCTCCCTACACAAGCTTTTATTATATATTTTTAAATATTTATTTGGCTATGCCAGATCTTGTGGCACACAAGACCTTTTAATTATGGCATGTGGGATCTAGTTCCCTGACCAGGGATCGAACCCAGGCCCCCTGCCTTGGAAGCATGAAGTCTTAGCCACTGGGCCACCAAGGAAGTCCCTGTCCTATTTTTCAGATTCTACTTGTGGCTTCTTCTGTGAGGAGCTGTGATTGGAGGGTGGAGTGCAGCCTTCAAAGAAAATATTTGGGAAGGGCGTCAGTGGGGAACAGCCGCAGTGGGGTGGGAAACCAGGATGGTTCCAGATGCCCCAGAAGGCAAGGGCAGCTGCAAACAGAAGAGTGAGACCGCTGCTCTCTCTTCTCTCTTGCCTTTTTTCTCCTCTCTTCTTCCTTCTCCCTCTGCAGTTCCTTCCAGTTAGTACAATTAATGAATGTTTTCATTTCAAATCTCTTGACCAAACACAAAACAAGCTGGAGTAGAGTGGTTATCAATATCGATTAATAATCACATACCCCACGACAAAGACTGTTTCCTGGACCAGGTTCAGTCAGGCTGCTCTGAACCCTCTGCTCAACTAGACCTCAACCTTCTGGCTTCCCCATCTGTCTTTCCATTGCCCAGTTTTAGCAAGAATCCTAATAAATTCCTCAACCCTCATCCCTCAGATCAGATTCCTCATCCCTCACCCTTCATATCTGATCTTGCCAGCCTGCCTTTGGCAAGAATCATCTCAAGTCAGTGTAGCTGAAAACCCCCTCACACCTGATGTTTCCTCTCAGTGATTTTTCATCCACTGACCTGCTCATGGCTATAAATCCCCACTTGCCCATGGTCTGTGCAGAATTGAGTCCTGTTCTATACTGAGGTCCCCCTTCCCCTTTTGCAACTGTCCTGAAAAAAATCTGCTTATACCACTTTACTGTCCAGCTCTGGTTTTCTTTGATACCCACCCTACTTCCACTATCAAACAGGGCCAATATTTTGAAACAGTCAAGTTAAGAAGCCCAAATGGGAGAGACCACAGCACTGTATTTGTCATCGAATCTGTAACACTTACCTCATGCTAGATGCAGCTGAGCATACAAAAACAGATACCATATTTCCTGGCCTTGAGCAACATTTGATGTGGATAATAAAAGAAGAGAACCAGTGGGCTAATGTTTATTACAAATTATTTCATGTGGCAAATGAAAGAATAAGGATTTTTTTTTTCAGATTTAATCTATTTGCCTGCTTTACCAACTAAGGAGATGGAGTGATAGAAAAAGAGGTAGAAAATGGAGTTTGCCTCCATCTCACAGATTCCAAAATAGTTAAATCTCACAAAGGCAAGTAGGGAGCAGGAACAAACCGAGAGAGACATTGACAGAAGCAAGACTCTAACACCAGCTTAGAAGATGCAACAGGGCCACCAGTGAAACCAAAGAGCAGCTTCCTGGGACTGCACTCTGCCTCAAGGTCAGCAGACAGAACTGGACTGAGTCCAGAGGAGCCAAGGGCTGCAGCTACAAACACGTGTGGCTCCCCTGGCCACCTCCTCCTGGGTCTCCATTCTCCTCTCCAGGCAGCCTTCCTAGTTCTCTACCTAAACCAGAAACCTAACTGTGCACACCCTCGCCCCCCCTGCTTTAAGTAACACCTTTTGGTGCCTCTGCACAGCCCAATAACTCCCCAGCCCTTCACCTGGTCTACAGGGCCCTCACCATCAGATCTGCCTCCCTGGGACTCTCAAGGTGGGCTACAGTCTATGGGGTCTCAAAGAGTCAGACACGACTGAGTGACTAAGACTTTTCCAAGGCAGGGAAGAGGGTTCAAGGCACTGTTTCTTGGTGATTTAGTGTGTGAGTGGGGTTTAAAGGCTGGTTCTGCTGTTTACTATCTGGGTGACTTCAAATAAGGTTTTCTAAGATACTAAGGAAAACATATCTGGTCACACTCATCTGGCAGGGCCATTGGGAAGCGTGAGTGAAACAGGCATCTTAAAGCATTTAGCGCCGCTCAACCAAGGTTGGCTGTTTGTTTCCTTCACTCCCACGGGGGCCCCCACTGGAGGCCCCAACATAGCTGGTGACAATAAGCAAATCCTGTTTACCCAAGACACATTTAATGGTAAGAATAGAGATAAAGGCCAACTCTCGGTAAAGATCAGGCTCCGGTTTTGCTGAGTAGAGCAGCACTGCCCATTCACCTCACTGCTTCGAGCAGCAGTGTTTCTGGATCTCTCCTGCAAGCCACAGGCAGTGCAGGATGCGTTTCTTCTCGGCAGCCAGCTCCTCTTCTGAGAACTGGCCCAGGAGTTTCTGGACAAATATATTCTGATCTTTCAGGAAAATATTCTTATTGATGCCTACGTTGGGCATATTCTCCAGGGACCCAGACCTGAAATGGAAGCTTAAACGTCTGTTTCGCTTTAGGCCGGGTGCTTTCTCTTCGGTCCAGGTCAGCGGGCTGTGGAGGCAAGAGGCACAGGATTAATCTCACTGAGGGGCCTGAGCACCCCCTGCGTGATCCTCATCGTGAGCCCGTCTCTCCTGCAGCCGCTGCATCCCGACCTCCACCAGCCTTCCAGAGGTGACTGTCGGCAACTGACCAATGGTCCCTTTATTCAGTTTTGCCACCAGGAAGGGGAATCTGTGCAATGATTTTGGTGTGAATATCAGTTCATTATTTAGGACTTTCTACCCTGAGCCCTGGAGGGATTGGGGGCAGGAGGAGAAGGGGATGACAGAGGATGAGATGGCTGGATGGCCATCACCGACTCGATGGGCATGAGTTTGAGTAAACTCCGGGAGTTGGTGATGGACAGGGAGGCCTGGCGTGCTGCGATTCATGGGATCGCAAAGAGTCAGACACGACTGAGCGACTGAACTGAACTGAGCTGAACCCTGAGCCCTGAGGATGCAGACCTGAGATTCTAGAGCAAACTGTTGTTTCTAAGTATATGTGCATTTTTACGGGAAAGAATTCTTAGAGTGCTCCCATCCCATTTTCAAAGAGATCTGTGATCCCCCGCACATGCCAGAAAAGACTAGACACTCCGTGCCTACTCTCAAAGCATCTGCTTCCATTTCACATGTGCCCCCCAGGTCAAGGCCAAGGTCAGCACTCACAAAAATCTCCAGTCCTAATGGAACAGACCCCACTTCCCTAAAGTTTCTCCTTTCTCTGGGTTTATTTTTTCTGTCTTTATAGTAGATAATAACTGTTTTACCTGCTTAATCAGAAACAGAGAAGCCTAATTAGGCCTTTGATCTAAAGAAGCTTCACTGAATAATATGACAACAAAAATACAAAATCTGCTTTAAAAAGTATTCTAAAAACAATACAGCATTGATTTAAAGACTTTTCAATGGAAAAAGAAAAAAATCCATAGTTCTTTCACCTAAATAAAAACCTCTTCAGTTTGAGACAGTCCTTTCAAGTATTTGTCTATGGGAGGGGGGATCGGGATGGGGAATACTTGTAAATCCATGGCTGATTCATGTCAATGAATCCCTACAATATTGTAAAGTAATTAGCCTCCAACTAATAAAAATAAATGAAAAAAAACAAAAAAAGAAGGATTTGTCTATATGTATGTGGCATATTAACCCTAAGGTATAACTAATTTTTGACTATGTTTATTTAAAAATATCATCCTACACAGATACTGCTTGTGATGATTACTTTTGTCTGCACATCATGGACAACTGATTATATAATTCATTTACTATTATTGCCAAATATTCAAGCTCTTTCCAATTTCAATTTAATATGGATAGCCTGCATTCAAACTCTTCACACATATATGCATAATAGTTTTCCTTCCTTCTTCTGGGAACAAAGTTTCAGGAAGTCTGAAGAGGACTTGCTCTGGCTACTTCTCTTTCCTTCCCGTCCTTACTTCTCCTACAGGGTTGAGTCAGGGTCAAGGACAAGGCAATCTGGTTGGACGGCTGCGATGTGAACTGGGAAAGGGTTTAATCCTGAGCAGGCACCAGGGTCTTGTCTCCCATTACCATTCCTCGGATTCCTTCCCCCTTCCCCCCAGGCTGCAGTCAGGCAGGCCCAGGATGGGCAGTTTAGACCAGTGTTGCTAATGGACGAAGCGGAACTACCTTTTGTTTGTTCTCTGCCTCTAGAGGGATGGCACATAATAAAGCTAAATATATAGGTATGGGGGGACTTCCCTGGTGGCCCAGCTTGGTTAAGACTCTATACTTCCAATGCAGGGGGCACAGGTTCGACCCCTGGTTGGGAAATTCAGGGAACTAAAATTCTACATGCTGTGTGGCATGGCCAAAAAACAAACAAAACCAAAAAAAAAAACATATAAGGTGTGAGATTACAAGAAAGGGGCCCAAACCGATCACTTAAGATTGTTTTGAGGGCTGCAGGAAGCTCAGGGTAAAGGAACCCTCCCTCAGCTTACCGAGACCTACACTAGAGGGTCGGTAAAATGTTTAAGAGAAAAAGATGTGAAGTACATAAAGGGGGAAGCATGCCAACACCCACACACACAGGGAAACATCAAGAGAGATGTGGACAGAGAAACTTCCTCCTTTTGTGGTCCCATCTGCTCAAAACTTAAGTTATGCTGTTTCCTGTTCATATGTGTGTGTGTATATATATATACATATATATATATATATATAATTTTTGGCTGCACCAAGCAGCATATGGATCTTAGTTCCCTGACCAGGGCTTGAACCTCCGCCCCCTGCATTGGAAGTGGGGAGTCTTCCACCACGGACAATCAGGGGAGTCTCCCTGTTCACATATTTAAGGGAGGACATCAGCTGTTGGGACTTTACTGTCAGTTAGAGTGGAGCTAAAGGTAGCCCTGGGTCCACCCATGTTCTGGGCTTGGACAGCTCTTAGCTCCAGGCATCCCAACCCAAACCACAAGCTTGGACTCAGACAGCTCCTCTGGTCCTCTCTGGAAACCTCCACTTGCAATTATCTGCATTCACCAGCCTAAGCTCTGACTACCTGCAAAAATGCTTCTTACGTCTCACCTTCCATAGAAAGGTACACGCCCACAGCCACAGCCACATTCCTCTAGGCAGCACGTATCTCAAGCACAGCAGAGGTGGCAATTTCTAACACTGTTCTTCTAAGTTCTGATAAGACGAGAGGGTGGGGGATGCACCTGGCTCTGGTCCCAGTCCTACCAACCAGCTTCAACAAGAGGACGGAAATGTGCACCTCTTATATATAGGACTGGGTTGAAAAAGTGTTTGAATGCTTATTTTTACAAAGTTTGAAAACTGCTAGTAAAATGGAAAGAACACAGGCTTGGAAGTGAGTTGCACTGGGTTTTCCTGGATGATCTGGGGCCTGAAGCGAACGATACCTACCTCACTGATAGGTAAGGATGAGGGAAAGACAAGGCCTGCTGTGTTCTCAATGGTATTCCTTTCTCATGCCTTCCCTCTGCATTGTGGAGGAGAAGGTGTGATCATTGGGGGACTGCAGACAGGCTGCTTGAGCATGATTCTCACATAACCATTTATTAGCTGTGTGCCCTTGGTGAGTTTCTTAACCTCTCTGAGCCTCGGGTGATCGTAATTCCTGGGTGATCATAATAGTGCCCATTCCAGACAGTTGGTATAAAGATTATATGAGAAAACTCTTGTAAAAGCGCTAGGCCCTGGCACATTGGCGAGAACTCAGTGAACGTCAGCAAATACTAGCACTTTGTACAACAGGGCTTCAGGCAACGATCCCGGTCTCACTGGTGCCTTTACTGTGACCTTTTGAGGCCATGCCTCCCCACCTCCTCATCCCCTGCTGCGTTTCTGCTCTGTTCCACTATGTTGATGGAAGGCGGCTCTAACTTGAGGAATTGTGTCTGCAAACAACTCGCAGAGGCTCCTAATGTTTTAAAAAGACTTGTTATGAAGCTTTTTATCTTGAAGGGCGTTTGCTGGCGAAAGAGCTGCATTTCGAACCAGATGGGACCCATCATGATGTTGGTTTCCCAAATGGACCAAGAGGACTTGGTTTCGAAAAACAACACATCAAGGATATTCAAGTAAAATCTGCAAACATTTAGTGATTATTTCTGGCATTGCATTTTCTGTCATTTATGGACTGAAGGCTGTTTATGGAAGATGCTGGGAATCAAAGAGTATCACTACTACCCAACTGGAAGAATTATCAGAGTGTGTAATAAACCAGGATCAAATGGAGGCTTTAGCAATGGAGCAACCAACAGACAACACCTCAGTATGACCTTATATTCAACCTGAACATCTTTGTACTATTTTAGTCTCTTGAACATTTTTAAATGGAAAAAAAAAAAAAAAAAAAAGACTTGGTATGGAAAGTAAAGAATCAGTATTTGGGGAATATTACAACAGTATGATGTGATAAAGCTGATAAAGAGCTGGGCATGATACAGGCAAGCTGAGTACAACGTTAATGGCAAGATCTATGTACAGATGCTCACTGCAGAGTTCTTTCAACTTCACCAATGCTACTCAGCCATTAAAAAGAATTCATTTGAATCAGTTCTAATGAGATGGACAAAACTGGAGCCCATTATACAGAGTGAAGTAAGCCAGAAAGATAAACGCCAATACAGTATACTAACTCATATATATGGAATTTTAAAAGAAGTGGCTTAGATATTGCTATCTGTGTGTTGTGTCTGAGTCGCTCAGTCATGTCTGACTCTTTGCGACCCCAGGGACTGTAGTCCACCAGGCTCCTCTGTCCATGAAATTCTCCAGGCGAGAATACTGGAGTGGGTTACCATTTCCTTCTCCAGGGCTCCCACAGGGAAAATTAGAATTGGATGCCACAATTCCAAGGGAGTTCCTTGGGGCATCTTCATTACTAGAATGTTCTTCCTTTGTAAAGTGCTTCTGACTGCCAGATTGTTTAATTGTGAGCCATTTGGGGGCTCTTCTGATCTAAATATACCTAACATATCAGATCTGTATGCTTCTCTTAACCTTATGGGGCAACTAGGAGGATGGTGTGAAGCAACATAAGTGAAATTTCAGCACCTGTCCCACTGCAGAAGCAGATGGCTCTTCTGGAGTCGGGGGTGGGGGTCCAGGTCCCTGGGTCTCCCCAAATTCTCCCTCATGAACCCACAAGCATGTCCTTATGTTGCCCCTTCCTCACAGCTTTTCCTGACCTACCTTTTGTTCTCTGTCTCCAAGCACACGGTCATCTTCATATACTGGTCTTCCTTTCGCTCTTCCAAAGTGGCAGACACGAGAGAAAGCTCCCCGAAGAGGGAGACCAGCCAGGTCAGGCGAGAGATGCCGCTGAATGCAGGGAAGCCAAACCGCTCTTCTTCCAATGGGGCAGCTGTGGGGAATCACAGACAAGATGGGGATTGGAGGGGAAAGGCTGACAACTAGGGGGTGACAGGGAGCCAGCAGATGTGGCTGGGGATCAGGACACACAACCTGGCCTTATGGCGGGGGTACCCGAGATGATTCTCATGGAGACTTTCAGAAAAATGTCTCCCTTTGCTCCTGCTTTTGAAATTCAGTTTGTTGGTAAAATAAAATATTTCATTGGAAATTGTAGGTTATCTGGTCCACAGGGAAAGAAAAATGTTTCAGGCTTCTAACGTGTATATGTTGTGTGTGTATGTGTGTGTGTATATATATATACACAAATATATATATGGTACACACATATACATATATATTCCCTTAGTAACTTGAAGCAAAAGAAGAATTAACATATTTTAGTCCTGCAAGCCTATATTTCTATAAATATATAACTGTGTAAATTATAAGAGGGTGAAGGAATCATGATAGCTGTGAAGAAAACAGTAATACCTGTAGACTACATCAATATCAAGAAAATTGATACAGTGGTGTTTTCTTAGACTTCAATATCTATCATCTCAGGTACAACAGTACATTCCGAAGAGGATGAGGATCTGGGTGAGAAACATGGTCAAGATGCTGCTCCCCTCTGTTCCCAGTCTAAATTTTAAACATAACTTGAATTTATAAGATTTCATATCTGTTTCACTGATCTTTAAACCACAGACTTTTTGTAACTTGATACTGACTTAAAACAACTCATAATTATGAGTATGTTCTAAAGAAAATCACAAGCAAATAAAAAAAAAAGGTAAACAGTAGCAAACCAAGACTGTAAGTTTCATAGACAACATGGTTTGAAATCACTAGGACCTAAGTGTCAAACTTACACAGGAAACGCAGCTCCCTCTGGGCTGGTTACCGTCTGCTCCTGCTCTTGGCAGAGGACTGAGCAGCCGTCACAAATCTGAGCCCCAGAGTCATAAATGTTGGGTCAACTTTGTGAAGCTACCCACCTCTGAGCTTCATTAAAAACAATCTGTATGACAGGGGTAATGAATACCCACTTTATGGGATTATCCTATGACTTAAACATGAAATAATGCATGTCACATACTTAGCACAATTCCTTGTGCAGATTAATGGTTATTATTATTTGTTGCCACAACGCTCATTAGGTGGTCATTTTAAAGGATGAAGATGGATCACAGCCTTAGAAAATGAACTTCTACAGTGGGGAAAAGAGCAGGGATGAGACAGGGAGTTTGGGATTGACATGTACACGCTGCTATATTTAAAATGAATAACCAACAAAGTCCTACTGTACAGCACAGGGAACTCTGCTCAATGGTATGGCAGCCTGCATGGGAGGGGAGTTTGGGCGAGAATGGATACATGTATCTGTATGACTAAGTCCCTCTGCTGTCCACCTGAAACTATCACACATTGTTTCATGGCTATCCTCCAATATAAAATAAAGAGTTTAAAACATACAAAAAGGAATACAATAAAGGATGAAGATGGATTCTGAAATGAGATTCCACTGTATTTTCTGGAAATTCGTGAAGAGATGAATGATTTTCCCACTCGACAATGTCAGACTTTCCTTCCTGTAATGCACATCCTCGGGAAAGGTAGCCCAGATGCTTTAGGGTGCAGAGCTGGAGGTTCCAGCTTGTTTATTTCCTACTGCTAATGCCTTAGGGTACAGACAAATCTAAGGAGTCCGCCCAAAGGAGACTGCAGAGCTGGAAGCTCCAGGTTGTTCATTTCCTACTGCTAGTGGAGGTGCTCCCAGAAAGACCAACATAAACGGCTGAACATATAGTAGATCGGATATTTTGGCTGCAGCTAATGTTTTGATAACTTGTTGGAGGAAGGAAGGGGCTATGCATATTCTATTTGCTGCATAGAGAAGTATAAAAATATTCTCTTCTCCAAGGAACCTTTTTCTCAGTCCTTTTTAAAAGAGAGCTTTCACTTTTAACCTGTGGAATATAATCTCCAATTTGTCAGGATTTCATGAGAAGCTTCTGCCTAATTGACTGGGCCAAAAGTATAAATGCACTTCAGATTTCTAACACATATTTTACCCAAGGCCTACCAAGCAATCAAATCTCATTTGAGGAAAGAAGTAAAATAGGTACTTTTATTGTCTCTGGCTATTTGGGAAAATTAAATCGGCCCGCAGAGACTCTTTGGTAGAAATGAATCCAAGCTCACATCCTAGAGAGCTAGGAAAGAACTCAGCCTCCCCACCTCACCCCACCCCGCCTTACCAGTTACACATGACCTGTGATCCCACCAAGGACTGACCTGTGAAGAGGAGAGACCCTTTCAGCAGGTCCTTCCCCACCACTTCTTTCTTTAAGAATGCAAACTCCTCCATCAAGAGTTCAACATGCTCCTCATGCAAGACCTTCCCTGTCATGACAAGGATGGAGTGAAAAAGGCAGTTATTACCAACTGTGTTATTTGCAGGATACACACATGAAATTATTAGGGAATCAGTTGGGCAACTTACTCTTATATGATTCAAGAAAAAATAGTTCTCTGTACTGTATTATATTTACTACTCTTCTGTAAGTCTGTTATTATTTCAAATAAATAATCTTCAACAAAACAAATAGTTATAGCAACAAAAATATGAGAGCAAGCCAGAAACAATCATGGATTATGAAATAAGAACTTCTTAGGAGAAAATGAAAGGGCAGCTTGCAATTAATGGACCTGAAGTCTCAACTCATTCATTTTCTCACACATATTTCAGCAGCTTTCTAAAATAGCTAGTAATTTATGAAATTCTCAAGAACCATTTTGGCCTCATCTTCCAAAATAGGGTGTTTTGTTTATCTTAGAAATAATAAGTGTTTTTAAATTCGGGAGGAAAATGAAAAGTAAAAATACCATGATCCTATTTACCAGAAAGAACCACTACTAAGATATTGGTTTATTTCCCTTTTGTCATTCGGCTATGAATTATTTTTCATGATTGTGATCATACGGTAAAAACAAAATTATTTTTAGTTTTAAAGTATAAATGTAAATTCACATCACTGTAGAAAATTGAGAAAATGTGAAAGAGAATAAACAAAAAAATGAAACCACTCAGAATGCTACCAGTTCATCACTGTTGCCATTTTGTTACCTTTGCTTTTTTTTCCCTCCGGTATATGTGACATGATGTTGACACTGATGTTTAAGCAATACAGGAAAGGTCTCAGATCCCAGCTGAGGGATAATCGGAAAGGAAGTTTGGTAGTAGACAATCAGTGTCACCGTGGGTATAAATGACTGACAGGACATGGGCACTGGGGAAATTTCTGGAATAATAAAAATGTTATGTATCTTGACTGGAGTAATCATTACATGGATATATACTCTGTCCAAACTCATTTAACTCTGCACCTAAAATCTCTGAATTTATCACAAGGAAATTCTATCTCAAATTACAAAAACTCAGATAATCAGATGAACACCAGAATTATTATTCAATTTCTTCAGTGGCTTTGGTGTTAGCCTGTTCAGAGCTATTTTTGTAGAAGAAATAAAATTTTTGTACTTCTCAGAAATTCTTGTGTCATAGGGTTCGTGATTTGTAACTAGTTTAACCACAGACACAAGTGCTAGAAAAGCTTATCTCACTTGTTACTTAAATAAGTCAGACTTGGCAAGCTATCCCATCTGATTGGTGGGGTAACAGATGGGGCTAGAGATTAATTTTATGTGTGCCCATGAAAACAAAAATATGATTTTCCATTCTATTTGTGATATTTAAAATGCAAAGAGTACCCTTAACCAAGTAGTAGTCAACTGTATGATACCTAATGCTGAAACTATTTTCTATGGCGTCCTGGGTAAATATGTTGGAACAGTTATGATTCTTAGAAAACTCTTTCTTGTATGAAGATGAGCTCTCCATCTCTATAATTCTACCCCCTACCAGCAGAAGCAATATAACATAAATTTATTTTCTCTTTCTATGGAGAGCTTTTAATATATCTTAATTTTTCTCTCCTTTACATTAAATATTTAAACTTCTCTAGGGATTTGTCCAAATTATGTGTAACTTTTTAAAATTTGTTTTTGTTTTTGGGGGCTACACTGTATATACAATTTAGTACCTTCTTAACAATTTTTAAAAATGTGTTATTTCATATTATTAAAACAAATTATGCTCATTATAGGAAACGTGAAAAATAAAGAAAAATAGAAAGTAAATAAAATCCAAAATACCACTATCAAGAAATAACCACTATTAAAACAAATTGTCCACACATCTATATTTGTTTTAAAGTGAAACTACATGTAGTTCTGTAACCTGTTTTGTATTTAGTCATGTATCATGTACCTTTTTTATGACAGTAAGAATCTATGACTTTTAGAGCCTGAATAGTATTCATCAGATGAAAATACCCATAATTAACCATTAACCATTCTCTTTTGAATACTGAATTGTGTGCCAATTTTTGTTCTTAAAATGTTGGCATGAACACTTCTGTACAAAATAATTTTTTAATGTATTTCTGTAAAATTAGGTTTACAAAAGATCTGAGCTTTTTACTATTCTTTGATACGTATTTTGACTTGCCCAAATTGTTAAATTAATGATGTTGCATTTGGGGCTTTTAATTATTGTGCATCAACATTCCACTTGAGGTTAAATCCTCTCTTCAATTTTGATTGCTCTGATTCTTCTAAATTTATTTAGCTTTTTAAAAAATTGTAGTAAAACACATAATATAAGATTTACCATATTAACCATTTTTCAGTAGTATTAACTATAAGGACACTGTTGTACAAAAGATCTTTAGAACTTTTTCACTTTGTAAAACTGAAATTTTGTACCTAACTAAAATAACTCCCTCTATTCCTCCACACCAAGCAGCCATCCTTCTATTTTCTGATTCTACAAATTTCACTATTCTAGATACTTCATATAATCTCTTTGTGACTACCTTATGTTACTTACCATAATATTCTTAAGATTCTTCCATGTTGTAGCTTGTGACAAGATTCACTTCTTTCTTTTTTTTTTTTTCACTTTTTTTTCACTTCTTTCTTAAGGCTGAATAATATTCCACTGTATATATTCACCACATTTTCTTTATTAATTCATTCATCAATGGACATCTGAATTGTTTCCACTTCTTGGTTATTGTGAATAATGTGCTATGAACCAGAGTGTGCAAATATCTCTTCCAAATCCTTTAAAGTCTTTTCAGTATATACCCAGAACTGGGATTGCTGGATCATATGGTAATTCTATTTATAAATTTTTCAGAAACCTCCATACAGTTTTCCAGAGTGGCTGAACCATATTATATTCCCACCAATAGGGCACAAGAGCTCTAATTAATTTCTCCACACTCTAACCAGCATTTGTTGTTTTGTTTTGTTTTTTGGTTTTGTTTTGGCCATACGGTATGGCATATGGGATCTTAGTTCCCTTGCCAGGGATCAAACCTGTGCCCCTTGCATAGAAGCTTGGAGTATTAACTACTGGACCAAAAGGGAAGTCCCAGTTTCGTTTTGTGTTTTTTTTAATAGTGGCTATCTTCATGGGTTTGAGGAGATATTTCAATGCAGTTTTGATTTGCATTCCTTTAATCATTAGTGATGTGTGCTCAGTTGCTCAGTTGTGTCCGACTCTCTGTGACCCCATGGACTGTAGCCCACCAGGCTCCTCTGTCCATGGAATTTTCCAGGCAAGAATACTGGAGCAAGTTGCCATTTCCTTCTCCAGGAGATCTTCCTGACCCAGGGATCGAACTCGCATCTTGCATCTCCTGCACTAGCAGGTGGATTCTTTACCAACTGCCATATAAGTTTCTGTACCAATTATGGTTTCCCTGGACCCAACGGTCTTACAAACAGCAACATTAGCTCAAAGAACTGTGGACATCACAAAATATGGTTCTTTTAGACTTGAGAAAAACACGCCCTTCAATAGTGCCTCAATACCCTATAATCTCTAATTTGAGTAACGGAAAAATTCAGGCTGCTCTCAGAGGCACTTGGAAATGAGATCCAATTCAGACTGATGGCCCCTCAGTTTCCTCCAGTGACCCTATACTGAACAAGAAAATTGAAAATTCCCTGTACATCTATGCCTTTCTCTAGTGTGAATTCTCCAGTGTTCAAACAGATTTGCTCGTAAAATATTTCCCACATGTAGTGTACTCCTGAGGCCTTTCTCCAGTGTGATAATCATTAGTGACAATGAGCATCTTTTTGTATGCTTCTTTTGACCATTTGCAAATCTTCTTTGGAGAAGTACCTATTCAGGTTCTTTGTGCATTTTAAAATCAGGTTTTTTATTGTTGTTGTTGAGTGTTAAGAGCTCTTTATATAATCTGGATATTAACCCTTATCAGCTACCTGATTTGCAAATACATTCTCCCATTCTGTAGGTTGCCTTGTCACTCTGTTGATTGTCTCCTTTGTTGTGTAGAAGCTTTTTTTAGTTTAGTGCAAAATCCCATGTCTACTTTTGCTTTTGTACTTTGGGTGTCACATCCAGAAAAAAGTCACTGCCATGGCCAATGTCCAGAAGCTTTCCCCTACATTTTCTTCCAGGAGTTTTATAGTTTTACATCTTAAATTTAGGGCTGTATGAGTTGAAAAGGTATAAGGTAAAGGTACAACTTCATTCTTTTCCATGTGGCTATCCATCTCTCCCAACACTTTCTGTTAAAGAGACTGTCCATTCCCCCATTGTGTGATCTCAAAGACCCTTGTCAAAGATCACTTGACCATCTATATACACAAGGGTTTGTTTCTGAACTCTCTATTCTATTTCATTGGACTATATGTCTTTTAAAAAATATTTCTCTATATTTGACTGTATCAGGTCTTAGTGGTGGCATGTGGGCTTCTCTCTAGTTGTGGTGTTCAGCAAGGCTCAGAGGGAAAAATGTGGACTTCAGAGCCCAAAAGGATTGAAATAAAATCTCCACCTCTCATTTAGTGGTCATATTACTAGCTTTGTGACCTGGTACAAAACTTTTTTAAAAAGTATAGTAGGTGTACAATATTATATAAGTTACAGGCACACAATTTTTGAAGGTTATGCTCCATTTCTGGTAGAAAAATTTTTGACTTCTCTGAGCCATGGATTCCTATATATAAGCTAGAGAAAATACCTACCTCCAAGGATTTCTAAGAGAACTAAGCAAAATAACATATGCTTAGAAAAGTTTCCAAGTTCCCAGTATTAATAAATGGTGCTCCTCTTGAGAAACAACAAAAACTATAAACTGTGCACATCAGACAATCAATTACCCTCCTAGGCACTTTTCCATTAGCAATACAAGTATCACATGAATAAAAGCAAGATAATATAATATTAGCCTAAGTGGAAGCTAATTAATATTTTTCATGAGAGTAAAAGAAGCTGGTAAGTCTTGAACAAAAGTCTGCAAATTCCCACCCATCCCTCTGCCCTGTTGTTCCTCCACAAACACACCCCAACCCCGCTCTTTATGTGCCTACAGTATGAGGACTGGGCTGGGGGCCCATAGGACCGGTAACATGTCTGACACAGGGTTGCTTATAAGGCATAAAGATGGTGCCATAGAAGTCTTAGAGGTAGGAATTCTTAGTAAGAGGGTGTATGCCCCAGATGCACAGAACATACATCACCTTTCTGCTCGGCCAACTCCCACAGGTCCTTAGCTGCCACCCAAGACAGTGTCATGGGGTATTCCACAAGGACATGCTTTCCAGCATTCAGGAATTGCCTTTGGAAAAGAGGGATAAATACAAATAAAATGCACTTCAATTAAGCTTTGCTTAAGTACCCTGCATGACAGACTGTGAAAAATGCACACAAATCTCCATGTAAATGTCATGACAGAATGCAGATGAGAGTCAGGGCCAGGGGATGGGGAGGACAAACTGCATCTCATGCTATTTTCTACTAAGCAGTAAGAGAAAGGTTTTCTAGTTATGTCATCACTTGAACATTCACCCATTCATCCACTGACATATCCAACCAGGTACTATTTACCAGTTATTCTGGAGGAGAAATACAGCCATGTCAACAGGTAAATTGTCTATTACCACAGTCAGTTCCCAACTCTGGGAGTTGGTGATGGACAGGGAGGCCTGGTGTGCTGCAGTCCTTGGGCAGTGACTGAAAATCACTCAGTCATGTCTGACTCTTTGCAACCCCATGGACTGTAGCACACCAGGCCTCCCTGTCCATCACCAACTCCTGGAGCTTACTCAAACTCAAGTCCATAATTGATATTTCTTCTAGCAATCTTGATTCCAGCTTGTGCTTCATCCAGTCCAGCATTTCTCATGATGTACTCTGCATTTAAGTTAAATAAGCAGGGTGACATTATACAGCCTTGATGTACTCCTTCCCCGATTTGGAACCAGTCTGTTGTTCCATGTCCAATTCTAACTGTTGCTTCTTGACCTGAATACAGATTTCTCAGGAAGTAGGTCAGTGGTCTGGTATTCCCATCTCATTAAGAATTTCCCAGTTTGCTGTGATCCACACAGTCAAAGGCTTTGGCGTAGTCAATAAAGCAGAAGTAGATGTTTTTCTGGAACTTTCTTGCTTTTCTGATGATCCAACGGATATTGGCAATTTGATCTCTGGTTCCTCAGGCTTTTCTAAATCCAGCTTGAACATCTGGAAGTTCACAGTTCACACACTGTTGAAGCCTGGCTTGGAGAATTTTGAGCATTACTTTACTAGCTTGTGAGATGAGCGCAATTGTGTGGTAGTCCGAATATTCTTCGGCATTGCCTTTCTTTGGGGTTGGAATGAAAACTCACCTTTTCTAGTCCTGTGGCCACTGCTGAGTTTTCCAAATTTGCTGGCATATTGAGTGCAGCACTTTCAAGGCATCATGTTTTAGAATTTGAAATAGCTCAACTGGAATTCTATCACCTCTACTAGCTCCATTACCACATGAGAGCTATAAATAAAGACTACAAAATATGGCAGCCAGCTCTGTCTGAGGCAATTGGAAAACATTTCACTAAGGCTCTGAACTGGGTCTTGAAGTGTAAACAGGCATTTTCCAGGTGCCAGGGGATGAGGGTGTTTCAAGATGAGCAGCATAGGCAGGGGCTTGGGCATTTATGGGGCTTTGTCCATTGAGACATGGTGTGAATTTCAGCATTTCTATGTGGCAGGGGAGGGGAGGGAGAGAGAAACGAGGTCCTAAGAGGAGCTGGGAGTCTGATGTAAAGGAAGGACCCAGACTGCTGTGCTCAGAAGTCTGGCTTTTATGCTCCAGATATTCTAGGGGACAAACATAAGTATGGGAATTATATGATAACTTCGTTCAGGTCTTCTCTGGTGCCAAAAAGGGGATCCACGTAAAGGTGCATCTGTCCACATTTAGAGTGAGTGTTATAAAGAGAGAGCAGCTGACTTCTGGGCAACCACACTGTGCAAGTAGCTGTGGTTTAATGTCAGGACCTAAACAGAAAGCTGAGCTCCATGGGCAGGTGGCAGCACCTTGTTAGCTGCCAGGTCTCCCATGGGGCTCTTCCTTCCAGGCTCCATTCCACCAAATGCCTAGAGAGCTCTAGGTTTTGCATTCAAAGGTGGAGCATTCAAAGGTAGGGTATGTGTGGGGGAAACATTTCATTTCTCTATATGAATATAATGCGACCTCCCCAATCTTACACCACCACTATTTCCCTAATCATCTCATGGCAAAAAACACTTCCTATTAAAGAAGTCCTAGAGATATTCTCAGAGAGATCTCACATTGTTTAAAGTGCAAAGGATAAAATGTTGGAAGCTGAAAGAACTATGGCATTTCTCCAAGACACAAAAAAGACACTGGCTCCATATCCTAAGTTATATACTGAGAAGAAGGCAAATGTTGGTCGCTCAGTCGTGTCTGACTCTGCGGCTGGTGGACTATAGCCTGCCAGGCTCCTCTGTCCATGGAATTCTCCAGGCCAGAATACTGGAGTGGGTACCCTTTCCCTTCTCCAGATCTTCCCAACCCAGGGATCAAACCCAGGTCTTCCACATTGTAGGCAGATTCTAAGAAGGCAGGCACTAGTCAAACTAATCTCAATAAATTTTTTACAATGAAATAAAGCACTTTAATTCTTAATGTGTCTAATGTTTTAAATTATGGTGAACTAAATACTAGTTCTACTATATTTTTCATGTCCTTATACCTTTATAACCCATAGTGAGAGTTAACATTTTGATGACAATTTTTTAAAGCCCTGGATCCATCCCCCTGATTATTAAGATCCCTGTGTAAGATGTCAGCCCAGGTATTTTCACTGTCCTATACTACTGTGCAAGGTGAGGACTTGAACACCCACCTGATGTAGTCCTCATGGCTGGAGCTCTCACTGCAGATAAAAGCAACCTCGACCTCTTGACTGGAAAGAGCATCTTCCAGAGAAATTTGCGGCACCTCATCAATGCTCCCCAGCTCTCGTCTGTTTGAGAAGGACAGACAAGTGGAACTCAAAGCAGGCAGAACATCGGCTGACAATAAATGAGTGCCATCCTGCTCCCCAGCTCCCAACAATGTCCTGGTGATCAGTTTTTGGAAACGAAGAAAGCAGTTTCTCCCATCTCATTTTCAGGGCACTTCCAGTACAGAGTAACAGACAGAACCTCCAGCACAGAGTAAGGAATCGGGGAACTGGCATTGAGTCCTGCTACCACTGCTAACAGCCTGTACGACGTGGGAGCCTTTGAATTTACGTCATCTCTAAAATAAATAAAAAGAACAGATCTCTTGTTATCTCATAAGAAGTAATCTCTACGGTCACTGCCAGCTCCAAGCACTTGGCCAGACACTAGGACTACCAAACCTAATCCAGATCCAAGACTCTAACACCTCTGCGGGGCACAGTGCTGTGGGGCTTTGAGCTCCTCCACGTACATCACGGCCTTGTGTCCGTCAAGCAGAAGGTGGGTGTCACTGCCTCCTTTATAGCTGAGCTGACAAAGCCCAGAGAGGCAGGGGCTCCACAGCTCACTGGTAGTAGGGCAAGGACAGGAGCCTGAGCCTCCTGACTCCCACACAGTAGAGGGGCCCCTGCTTTAGAACAGCTGAGAGTCCCGGCTGCCCTGGGGCTGAGGCTGGAGCAGAGGAGCAGTCCTCCAACAAAGGCTGTCACAGAGGAAACGGGGCAGCTGGCAGGAGGCTTGGGGCAGCGCAGAGCCCCTTGAGTGGCAGCAGCCAGAGGGCAGCTGGGGGAGTTTGGCTGCTGAAGAACATCCTGGTAGGTTCTTTCCTGTGGGGGCCACCCATCTGCACTGCTTGGTCTGACCAATGCCTCCCGCTTGCCTCCCTGTGCCTTTCCAGTAGGGAAGATGTGGTGAAGAGGAAAAGTTAAAATTTTACATAACCTCCTGCTCGTTCTGCCTCTGTAACTCATCTTGCTCCTTGCAAAGTCTGGATCATATAGGTCATGTAGTCTCAGAAAGACAACACCAGGAACTGGAGCTTATCTCACTCACCCTTGTCCTGCTCTTTGCAATTGCCCAACCCTGCCAACCTGCTTAATCATGCCTGTCCATGTTAAGGTCTGGCATCCCCCTCCCCATCTTGACTGCTGTTCCCGTGCTAATGAAACCCCTTAAACCAGCCTAGTAGCAGCTAAAGTTGCCCACTATAGTCTGTCTATAGAAACTCTGTAACCCCTTTACTCGGGGCTCAGAGCTTAGAATGTTAACTCCTCTGGGTCCACCGGCATAATAAACTTGAGTTCTCCAATTCTCCAAGTGTGGTGCTGGGTTTCTCGATTACTGGATTCTGCAACAGTGAGGCATGAACTAAAGTCTTCAGCTTCTAGCAAGCTCGGTCTGATAGAGAGAGGAAGAGACTACATAACCACAACACAAGACTAATAGGTGGGGTCTTCCCTGGTGGTTCAGTGGTTAAACCTCTGTGCTTCCAATGCAGGGGGCACGGGTTTAATGCCTGGTTGGGGAACTAAGATCCCACACGCTGTGCAGCATGGCCAAATAAAAATAACCGGAGGGATGCTATGCCAGGGGTACAAGTGGGAGATTCCAGGAAGGCAAGGAACATCCAGTTCAGGGTTTCAGAAGAGGGTTCCTGGGGAGGTGACAGGTCTCAGCAGGTAGGTTGTGAGGAACAGAGCATGTGGCAAGGGGACAGTGTGGTAACAACAGGGGGCTGGTAAAGTGAGAGGAAGGGAGGGTGAGCTGGCCATCCTATGGGACCTGGGTAGGTTAGGCATGTCATCAGCTGGCAGAGGAAGGCTGATAGGGAAGCAGAAGCCCCCCTTCAGCCCGGAGCCCTTGTACATGAGACCCCAGACGCAGGCAGTGGAGCAGGGGGAGGAACAGTACCGCTAATCATGATATCAAGTCTCCCATCTGTGCTGCTCCCTTAGAATCCTCCTGGGAGGGGAAGACTGACCAAGGACAGGTTGCCAGCACTTCTGGGTTGCCTCTGTGCCCCCAAATTCACTTTAAGTCCTTAAGGAAGGGCTAGGTTCTAAGACAGACAAACGGGAAGAAAGCAGGTCCCATAAATTAAAATATGAAAGAACCTCTACATGGACCATCATGATGGTTACTTACGCTCGTACTGACATTTAGGTGATTTCTCTAAAACACTAAGAAGCAGAGACCTGCCTGACTTGCTGTCTGTCCCAATGCCTGGGCTGATACAGGGCCCACCTCCGGTTCACAATGACTGCTGATAACTGACGTTACGTGGTGTGAGTTTTGTAAGTAGTGTGTGTGGAAGTGGTGGGCGTCAAGGAGGAGCTGAGGGTGACTAAGGGAAGAAGAAAAGCAGTGAAAGTTAGGTTTTGGCTGAGTTACAGGAAATAAATGATAATCTTTAAAAGCGGGGTTCAGAATTATCATAGGGGAAATGAATATATGGTATTTAAAAGCCGGGCTTTGGAATCAGATAGACGTGCGCTATTGTTCAGTTCTTCGATTTTTCCAGCTGTGTAACATCAGGCAAATTACTTAACCTCTCTGTGGTTCAGCTTCTGTATCTGTCAAGTAGGTTGATATTGGCATTGATGTCAAATAACTGGTCAGGCTTACAAAGACCAGGGCCCTGGGAAGGCTGTCATGGTTAACTGATGGAACACACCTCAAGCCTTCTTTCAGGCCAACCCACGTGTGTTCACTGTGCCCCTCCTGTCACCATCAGGCCCGGTGCTCACCTCCCCCGCCTCGGCCTTTGCAGTCCCCTATAGGATGACTCACTGCACATCCCGGTTGCAGGGCCAGCACTCTAGTTCCCAGACCTGTCTGAGATCTTGTGGGGCTGACCCTGCACAGTTCCCTGGAATGACCCCTGAGCTGGCTTGCTCTCTCTGGGGTCTGGAGAACCGTAATCCATGCACCCAGCTCCCGGGGAATTACAGGGCATAAAGCAAAGCCACCTGGACACGAAGCCAATCAGGTTCAGGAACGCCGAGGAAGCGTGTGGATTCCGCAGGTCCCGGATCCGTACGGAGCCGGCTCTGCCGACGCCGACCACCACCACCCCAAACTTCCTCTCGGGCTGAAACACACAGGATCAAGGTGGGGTTTAAAAATGGTCCAGGCTCATACTTACAATGTTTAACTTGAGTATTTGTGTCCCCCCCTGCCGTGTATAGATGCTGAGCTTGTTTGGCTTGAGTACAATATCAACTGAAAAGACCAAATATTTTTCATTCTGACAAAATTTAAAATCCAACAAACATTTATCAAAATCTAAAAGAACACCCCCCAAACACAACAGTCTGGGCAGATAGCATAGAACAGCAAAACAGACACGTGGGCAAGACCAGTGAGGGACCAGACAAGCAAGCCAGGAGCCAACACGGATCACGGAAGCCACAGCAGGGGAAGAGGAATGAGACTCCCTGAAATGCAAGGATGGAGAGAAGTCAGCTCCCCCCAAAATATTTCTATGGCTGCTCTGACCTGTGTTATCCATGGAAAAGGCTCTTTGCACACTTGGCTCTCCACCCACTTCTACTGCCACCTCCCCACTAATGAGAGATCTTCATCTTGAAGCTGTACCCAGCCCTAGTCTGGTACCTCTGTCCTCCCTCTCTCTCTCCTCCAGTGGACGTGCAAATCTAAGGTAACAGAGAGTCATACAGAAGTGACAGTGCTCAGTGAGATTCAGGGGGACAGGGCACATGGGCACATGGTGACCTTATTCAGACCCCTCACCACCCTGGCTTTCTGCGTTCCAACTAATGTCACTCTCACCCTACTGTGAGAGCTTACTCATTATTTGTGTACAATGCATATAGTACTAGAATGAAAAATCAACTCAAGTTTTTCAAGTTATATAGCAACTTACTATAATCTAAACTGATAAAAATTCTATGTATAAACCTCAGACACAGTTCTTCTTGGATGCCCATGCACAAAAACTCAAATGTCCCCCTTAGATTCCCTTTTCCTTCACCTTTGTCATCTGGTGTCACCGTTTCCTACAGTTTGCCCCCCTTCCTGCATCCAGTGCTCTAGTCTTAGCCCAGGACTTCTTTGCCTCCTGCCTAATGATCTGATAAATCCCCCCCTGGTCTCACCCTTCCCATGGGTGGTACCCCAGACTGCCAGAGCAGATGCTCCAGATGAAAACTAAGTCCTTCCCCTGATGAAAGCTCTTCATTTTCCCAACGGTTACAGACTGAATGACTGCTTCCCTCAAAAGGCATATTGGGATCCCTGTCCCCCAACATGATGGCAGTAGGAGGTGAGGCCTCTGGGTAATCGGGGTGAGATGAAATCATGAGGGAGGCGCCTCTGTAAATGGGGCTGGTCCTAAGAGTCACCGGACAGCTTGACTCCTCTCCCTGCTCTCTGCCCACGTGAGGACACAATGAGGAGTCAGCCGCCTGCAGCCCATTAAGGGGGCCCCCCATATGTCAACCCATCTCAGACTTCTAGACTCCGAACTTCATGAGAATTTCTGTGGCACTGTTCAGCAGCCCAAACCGTGAGACAGTCTGTAAGAAAACAATTGAAGGGGAAAAAAAATCCAAGTCCATGTTTTCTACCAAACACAAGTCCTTCCACAATTCAGCACCGACCCGCTTCTCCAGCACTGCCTTTCAGTCACCTCCTCCACGTGTAACTTTAGGCTTCAGACCTTCCAACACAGGACTGTTTCTTCCCTCTGAGTCTTTGCAAATCCTGTTCTCTTTGCCTGGAAGGAGTTTCTCCCTACTGTCCACAAGGGGATGCCTTCAAAGCTTTCAAGACTTGGGCATCTTAAACCTTATGAAGACTTTCCTGATACTATCAGTTAGATTTTTTTTTTTTTTTGCATATAATAAAGATCACGCATTTTGTGTACAGTTCTATGGGTTCTGACCAACAGACACTTACATACCTACCACAATCAAGATACAGAATCTATACAGATACTATCATCTCCTCCAAAATTACCTGTACCCCTTTGCAGTCAACTGTTTCCCCTGCCAGGCAACCATCAACTTGTCTACCATCCCAGTAGTTTTGCCTTTTCTAGAATATCATAAAAATGAAATCACAATATGCAGTCTTTTGGGTCTGGCTTCCACTTAAAACAATGTGTTTTTTATCTATTTTGTTACATGTATCAATCATTTCTTTTTATGAGTACTAGTCATAATAGCTTGTTTATCCATTTGGCACCTGAAGGATATGCTGCTGCTGGTTCAGATGAATTCATAATTTATTCAGTTATGAATAAAGCTGCTGTAGACAGTCATGTTCTACTTTGAGTTCTCATTTAACTTGGGTAAATACCTGGGTATGAGTTTGCTGTGTCATAGGGCAAGTGTAGGCTTAACTTTATGAGAAACTGCCAAACTGTTTTTTTCCAAAGTGTACCTTTACACCTATACTGTTTTGCATTCTTGTCACTGATGTCTGAAAGGTTCTGCATTCTCTCCAGCAGCTGGTATCATCAGGTCTTCTCCTCTTTTTATTTTAGCCATCATAATAGGTGTGTTGTGGTCTCTCAATGAGGTTTCTATTTGCAGTTCCATAATGACTAATGATGTTGAGCACTGTTTCACGTGTTTATTTGCCATCTATAAATCTTCACTGGTAAGGCGTCTGTTCATTTCACAGGCTGTATCAACTATGTACAACTAGGCAGGGGTATGCCAGGCCTGTCTTTAAATATACAGGGTCCTTAAACCCAGCTCACGGGTCGTCTTCTCTGGAAGCCATCAAGCTTTTTTGTTTTGTTTTATTTGCATACAATATCCAATTGTCCTAATATCGTTTATTGAGAAAGGCCAACTTTTTCTATTGAAATGCCTTTGTACCTTGGTGGAAGCTGTCTTAATTACTATAGTTTTTTTTTTTTCATTTATTATTATTAGTTGGAGGCTAATTACTTTACAGTGTTGTAGTGGTTTTTGTCATACATTGACATGAATCAGCCACAGTTTTATGGTAAGTATGGAAGTCCATCACTGTGAATTCACTGTCTTTTTCAAAATTCTAGTTCTCCTGCCTTTACATATAAATTTTAGAATCAATTACTAGATAAATAAAATGAAATAAAATAAAAATTCCTGCCAGAATTTTGAGTGGGATTATATTGAATTTATGGATAAGTTTGAGGAAAAAACCCAACATCTTCAGTAAAATGAATCTTCTAATCCATGAATATGGTATATATATACATTTATTTAGGTCCTTGATTTCTTTCATTCTGTCATTTTCAGTGGATAGATTCTGCACCCATTTTGTTAAATTTATACTTAAATTTTTATGATTTTTAGTGCTGTTATAAATTTTATTTATAAATGAAATTACACTTTACTTTCCATTTCCAATTGTTCATTGTGAGTATATAGACATACAACTGATTTCTGTATACTGACTTGGCATCTTGCAATCTTGCTGAACTCACTTATTACTTCTAGCAGCTTTTTTTGTAATTCTATTAGATTTTCCACATAGACCATACAGTCAGATGTAACTAGACATGATTTTACTTCCAATCTGAATGTGCTTTGCTCATTTTTCTTGCCTGACTGCACTGGGTGGGTATGGTTTTGAACAGGAGCAGTAAGAGAGGACAATCTTGCTTACCTTTTAATCTTCAGGGATATAATTTGTTCTTTCACCATGGAGAATGATCTTGGCTATAGATTTTTATGTAGATATCCTTTTTCAGGATGTGGATATTTCCATTTATTCATATTTTGCTTACATTTTAAAACCATAAATGGTCTAACTTTGTCAAGTGTCTTTTCTGTGTCTGTTGAGATGATCACGTGATATTTTTCTTCTTAAAGTCTGTTGATACAATGACACCTTTCATTCCTAGGATAAACCTCACTTGGTCATAATGTATTATTCTTTACATATACTGTTGATTCTATTTGCTAAAATCTTATTTTAAATGTTTGCATCTGTGTTCATGAGAGTTGTTGTTCAGTCGCTAAGTCATGACTGAGATAAAATTATACCATTTCAAACCTAAGAACCTTACAACAGTATACTTCCACTTCCTCTCTCCCTGACTTTGTACTACTGTTGTTACGTAACTTATAAACTGCTCAAGGTACCAGTCAGGATTCAGTAATGTGATCTAAGCACAGAGTTTTAACATGGGGAATCAGGGGTTTACATCACCATTTCAAACAATAGGGAGCTAAATCCAGAGAAGCCATCACTGACCATCTCCTACTGCAATCAAGCAAGTGATTCTCAAGAGTTTGCCTGGAAGCCAAGACCTCAGGAGAGCATCTGCAGCCTAAAGCTTGGAAGAGCAACTGTGACCTCTGAATAAATTTCTTTCTTCAGCCTCCAAATCTCCCGGGAGCACCTCTTACTGGCCAAATTCACACATGAGATGGAACTTTGGGAAATGTAGTTCTAAGCTTGTGGCCACAATGCCCAACTGACCACAGGCCATTTAGCCCAGTTGGTGCCTTCTGGGTTACAAGCCTAGCTTTTAATTTTTATTTTTGATAGTCTCATACACAAAAAGCAGAAGGACAGTCTTTAGAGAAATCTGTACTGAATTGCCAAAATACACATCTGATCAAATATTTGCTTTTTCTTTCACTCAGAAAAGGAAACAAGCAACTTCCTTATGAGGCTGATCAAATATTTGTTTCTTCTTTCACTCAGAAAAGGAAACAAGCAATCTCCTTATGAGGCTGAATATTTATGGCATTCCTAAGATTAACTACTAAATTACTACATTACAGAAAATAACGAGGATCATAGGTTTCTATTAGCTTTAAAAGAGGCATGAGGTTAAGAAACAGCTTCCTTATTGTAAGAAGCCAAGTCACTTTTTCCATTTTAATAATTAATGATACGCACACACTTGTAAACCTGGCTTGCATACTGTCTGGCTGAAAGTGCATTCAAATTTGGTTTAGACAACATTCCCTTGCAAAACTGATAACAAGGGACAAGATATGGGTGAAAATGCTGACATATTAACAACTGAGTTCCTCGTTGGGAAAGAACTTCATTTTTGAGAAAAATGACTTTCCTAGACCATTTCACCTATGTCTGTTCATTTTACATGAGGCATCAAGG